CTGGACTCAACTCCAAGGTGAATTCAAGCTTTTCTTCTTACACTTTACATTGTTTTTTCCCCTTTAATTTTTCTTTAAATATGCATGCACGTACTACACATAGATGCATATGCTTTTGTGTAGTATGCCAAAATTAGTTAAAAAGTATGAACATACACATACTGCAAAGCAATATGTTACAAGATCTCCTCGGTCATCTCAGACAGCCTTCCTCACCAGCAGCGTGCACGTTATAAAAATCAGACACACATTATCTGCCCTGACCACACTCACTGTAAAATCTTCATGACTTCTGTGTTTAGTTTAGAGACGCATTCAGAGTGGCCGTGAGTGAATTCATGCTACAGCTGCTCTGACACACAGCACATAAAGTAGCCACAGAGCAGGGTTATTTGATGAGTGCTTGCTTATACTCGCATCCATATAAACAGGTTGAAGCCAGGGTTGTAGAGTTTGGCAGAACGTAATAGATAATAGAAGATTACACCAGGAAGCCCTGCACGTACGGACAGAGAACAAACACAGGGTAGATTTGCAGACTTAGTAAAAAATTATCTAACTGTAGATGCTTCGGTGCTTGTAAACTGTAAACTGTAAACTTTACGTGAAAAAGCAGGCTTGGCTCAGTTTCAATTTTTTTTTCTTTTTTTGTTGCTATTAAAGATCTTAAATCCACAACCTTCAGAAAGTTATTCATTCATGAATTACAGCTGGAACAATAAAGATAGCAAGGCACAAGTTACTTTGCATATATTTAGTGGCTGTCATTATCTCTTTTTACACTCCCTCCTGAACTTTCGGCAGTTTTGTTCTTTTTACTTTACAGCATTACGATGGTTTCGGTGGGAACATGTTTGGACGGTGTGTTATAGACGTCATCTGGGCATTGTGTTTAGTTCTGTGTCTGTTTTTTATTTTTTCCAATACAGTAAGGAAGGATACAAACTTATTAAATCAAGTTTAATGTACGCTACATGTTTTTCCATTCAGTTTGTTTAATTCTTAGGAAGCACAAAATAAAAACTCAAGCATGGACTAAGCCACTGTGTCAGTGACTACAGACTGAATAACAGCACACAAAACATCCAGCTAATTTCACTGATTAATTAATTATTAATTACAATACTGTGCAAAGGCCTTGAGTCTTTAGTTTTTGTGTAATTTGGCATACCTCAGCCTTTTCTCTCGGTTTCCCTTTCTTAAGAATAGCTTCTTGACAGCCACCCTTCCACTGAATCCATTTCTGATGAGACTTAAGCAAACAGTAGATGGATGGCGTGCAGGGTCAGATGCATCTGTCAGGTCCTGTATCAGGTCTTTGCTGGATTTGTTCCTGTTTCTTAAAGACATGACTTTAGATACTTTTCGTCTGCTGAAGATCATTTTTAAGGTCTTTCACTTGTGCAGTTTCATTAAAAAAAATCCCCAAATTTAAGGACACACAGCACATCATGTCAAATAAAGAAATTAAAACAAATGCTGTGTTTTTGAATCGAACTGCTAGTTTCCAAGTGTCTAAAGTTACAGTTTAAGTGTAGACACTACACTGGTGTTAGATACCAGTTTGTGCTTGAATGATTCATAGGTCAGTGTTAAGTTGCTTAACAAACAAACAAACAAACAAACAAACAAATGATCAGGTGTAAGGACTATACCTGAAAATAAGTGAAAATAAGTAAAAAAGCAGAAAATGTCCAAAACAAATCAAAACTGTGAAAGATCTTTAGAAAGCCTGGAGAAGCATTGCTCAAGACCACTTTATAAAAAATCACAAAAAAGCCTGGAAAAATATAGAGACAGGCTTTTGCACAATACTGTATATCCCCGAGTTTAATAAGTGGATTTATATCATTTATGATTTCTATCATAGCCATGGGGAACGAATAGAGTAGGCTGGATATGTCTTATGAGGTTAAGAGGTATGCTTTTGGAGAATTTCGAGTGTAATATGGTTAATTTTTAAACACTTATTTGATGTGGGATTTGAGAAACAATAGACATACAAAATAAAAGGGAAATTGTTTGCACTTATCTGTATTTGTGCAAACTGTAGAAGTACTAATAATGATATAAATCCTATCAGTACTAAAATATAAAACGTGATTTTATTATTACTCTTAAGAGGCTTATTTACCTGTGAATGAATGCCATTCTAATTACACCTTGTAAAATCCGTTAACATTTCCACAGCTACTGAATAGCCTCCCTTCTCACATAACCGAATACTTACATTTTATGTATCTTTCAGTTTGTTGCAAATGCGGAGAGTGAAAGGAAACTGCTGCAAGGAAGGAAAAGGTTAAAAGTCTAGCAAACTTATTTGACGTTGTTTGCTTGACGTCACTAATTGCTTATTTTTGCAACATGTTTGCATTAGTATTTCTATTCCTTTTACATTTTAAACATGAGTTAAGATTTTTTTCTGAATAACATTTTTGTTCATCGTCAAATGTTCGACGTCCTTTTGTGTTTTGTTCCAATGTTCTTGCTGTTCGTGCGCAATTAAATAGTGAATTTAATAAATCAATAAGCTCATTATTGTTTTAGTTTATACAGTGCTGCTTTACCTAGACTTCATAACTTTTATCAGATTTTTATTTATTTGTTTTTGTCCTATTTTATATACTCTCTCTCTCTCTCTCTCTCTCTCTCTCTCTATCAATGTGGTATAGGCGGGTTTTCCGCCAGCAGGGTTTGGTTGATTCTCTATTGATTTGCTGGGGTGGGAGAGGAGGAGGAGGAGAAAGTGAAATGGGAGGAGAGCAGGAGAAACCTCCGCCTGGCCGGTGAGGGAGGGAGGGATATGATTGTGCGTGTTCTGGACGAGAGAGGAGAGTGATCGTAATCAAGGCAAAAGTCCGGCTTGCAGCGGGAGCGCACTCCAATCACGTGGGGTTTGGATTTGTATAGGAGAGAAAAAAGTAAAAGTGTCGACGAAGTGACTTCTGGTTGTACTTTGTATTTTCTTTCCTCTCTGTGCCTTTCCACCTCCCCCTCCGCCCTGCATTCCGCGGAGCAGCTGTGTTTTAATGCCCCTGCGCACCCGTGGAGGAGAGGAAGGAGAGAAGAGTGAAGAAGAAGGGGCAGAAGAAGTAGTGAGAAGGCCTGGACACCACCCGTCCTCGCCCTCTGGAGGTCTGTCCACTCTCCCCTCCTGGCCCTGCATGGACGGGGATGGGGAGAGCCGGATGCTGTTGCCGCGGGGCTGAGCGCCTCACCTCCCCGTCTATGGTGCGCCGCTTCCGGCCGCTTCTACTGCTGATCATCGCTCTGTGCTGCGGTGCTCACATAGGTAACTAATCACACTTGCAACACTGCAACACCCAGTCTCTTTGGGTCACAGTAGCAACTGATCTGTAATTTATCTACTTTCATATTCAGTGATGAACTAATTACTGCGGACTCCATCAGCTATAACCATAGTAACAACATTTCTTTTCAGTCGCCATCACTTGATGGTGATTGAAACACTTTGTTAGTTATTAAGCATTTGTAATCACTGTGCGGTTGATCCTTGTGTTGGGCCCAGTGCTGCCTGACAATGGCTCTCTCTAAAGCGGCAGTGCAGCAGTCTGAGCACGGATCGAGTTTCTCCTCTCTCCTGGGCCGTCATTCTCCTGTCTGCCTCTTAATGGCTCATGGAGGAGGGGGAGAGAAGGCAGGAGCGAGCTACCTCTCTTCTTGTCCATATAAACCAATTCTTTTAGTGCACTCATTTACAGAAAAAACAAACAAACAAAACAATCTATTCCACCGCTGCACATCATAAAATGTAAAAAGAAGTTGTGCTGTGATTTAAATCTGGCCAAACCTAAATAAACATGTAATGTTGAGCTGATGCTGATTAATAATGTCTATTGTAAGAAACGGGATCAGATAATCTAATTTGAGAACATATTCTTCAATGTCCAACATATTTCTCTTTATATTTGTGGATGTTTATCTTTTAAAACCCCTACAATGATCCAAGGCTTGTTAGAAAAACAGCAACAACAAAAAACCCCAATGAATTTAATAAATGAAAAGCCTGTTAACTGGACGTTAACAAGGTGTCTGCAAGGATTTCTGACACTAAACTCAAATGTGACAGTTTTGACATACTTCTGTTTTCTGTGGCTTTGCAGAGGTCTTTGCTTTTTTGTGAAACTGTTTGCTGGTCATTTTCTGTCTCGTAAAGATACAGAAGCATTTTACATTTGGTGCAAAAAGGCAGCAAAAAATACATTAAAAAAAATCAAATCTGGCTGAGTCTGAGTGTTTTTGTCTGTGCAGGGGGTCGGCTGTCTGTAGAGCAGTCACACCTCCAGTAATTAGTTTAACACAGCGCAGGCAGTCGGACAAAATGGGAACACAGAGAGAGACCCACTTCACATTAAAGACCCTCTTGGCACCTATGTTGCACGTGCGTCACCTGGAAAGAATGTGTTTTTTTGTTTGTTCTTTTTTTAATTTGTCGAGCCAAACAGAATGTTTTATTTGTTAAAACTTGTACATGTTTTGGGGTATTTTAGATACATTTCTTTGTTGTCAGCCCCATGTGTCTGTTTAGGCAGGGAGGAAGGAGGGTCTGAATTGTTGACTATTGTTCACAGTGTCTGGCCGACGACAGAGAGAGTGCACGCTGGAGTGAGCTCCTGTAAAGCTTTGCAGCTTAAAGCTATGGAAAGGGTGTTTGTGTGATTTGAGCTCAGCGTGTGAGAGAGTGCACACAACAAGGTGATCAATAAGCACTTCTGGAGCTATTCCCTTGGTTGAGAAATGATCCCAGTAGATCCTTTCCTGATCTCCAGAGATCAAAGGAGTTGAAGGCAGCGAGATTGGGAGGCAAAAAAAAAAAAAAATCTAAACCGAGCCATTGAGATTCAGCTGGTTGATCTTATGACCTCTGTCTGATGGTAGAGAAGGTGCCTCAGGAAGAGAGGCAGTAAGGAGGTGAGGCTGGCCAGGGAATGAGGCTGAGGGGGCTGAAAGCAGAATAGTGCTGAAGGAGGCAAGTGATTGAAGCTACAAAGGAGAAAAAAAAGAGAGAAAACTGAAGATATGAGAGAGAAGAAGATTCAAGTCCTGTGGGATTATATTGAATGCGAGGAAGACAGAGGATAAGGAGCAATGTTGAAGGCAATTTTAAACACACGAGGAGTTGTGTATTCTCCTCTTAATAGTATTTGCCAGCCACCGGAGTATTCATCACCTCGGCTTTACTTGGCAAAAAATATGCTAATTTAGAGAAACTGTTTACAAAGGAGATCACATGAATGTTTTCAGAAGCAAATAAGAAAATTGTGTTTTAATATGTAACGTGTAAATATTACAAACATTATTAAGCATCATATGGAAATCCTAGTTTTTATTTCCGAGAGGTCAGAGTGCAGGGTCAGCATGGGACCGACACAGTGGTGTAAACTTCAACAGAAGCTTTCCGTCAGTAAGGTTTTGCAGATCGATTGGTTTAATGCCAGAGCCCTGCCGTCAGAGGGTCAGCTTGCTTCTCGCTAAGTTATCCTTCGGAGAAAATATTAGTGAATAAGTGCTTTTTGTGCAGCAGCTCATGATCCTGATAACTTCTGAAAGAGAACAAAGTGCTCTGATTAGATTGGGAGTCGCATTTGGGTACTGCAGGCTAGATTGGAGGGAAAGAAGGAGGCTGTTGGTGCACCAGTCAAAGACACAATGTGTCCTCAGTACTCAGACCTGTCTGTGCAGCGGTGGTTGGCATAGGAGGCAGCCTGTGTGTGTGTGTGTGTGTGTGTGTGT